ACAGTTGATTGCTACACATTTCCCCACTTACTACTAGTGTAGATCCGTTCCCATTTTCTCTGTATGACAATCTTTTAATCCCTGATTAATATGAACCTTATAGTGAATAATAACCAATCATGTCTTTCCTGAGCTCATATTTGCTCCCAGTTCCACAAAATACACAGATAATTTCCGATAACATTCAAAGTGAAAAGCATCTCCTACTTCTTAATCGTATTTTCCAATTACAGGGCATTAAACACTCTTCTTGAGATTTAACCAAAAAAACAAAAAAAACCAATAAGCTGTTCAAAAAGGTCTGACTCATAGCGTGTCTTGTTTTTAGGCTGTGCATAATAAGAATGAAATGGTAATGTCGTGGAAGTTAATCCTAGTCATTCAAAGAATTAAACTCCAACTTTTTTAGGATGATCTGATTGATACAATGACAGCGACAAAAAGCGCTGACCATGCCTTTCATCTGCTCCAGCCACATACGTTTTTCTCTAACGTCCCAAAACGCACGATGAACCCAACACAGGAACATTCACGTTTGAATTCCAGTCAGACAGCTGCTTGTTATCTGTTGACACGCAAGGAAGCCACACAGCTAGGTGCACATGAATTTCACTGCTGACATCCTGAAGCCCTGATGATTTGAGTCCCATGCAGCCGAAATATAAAAAGATGCTGACACAGTATAGCTGCCAATGTTTTTCCTTTATGATAAAAGCAATACTGGAAAGTGTCATCCAGTGTTTGTTGCTGTTATATGTAATCCATTAACTGTTAAAACATCACTGCCCTATCTGCAAATTGGTCTAATTGTAATGAATTCATCCCGCTGTGTCACGGCTTTCACATGGCAGTTAGTCACCATTAAATCTCTTCAGATGTCACTTCCCCAGAAAGCTAATACCCCACAGCTAACTACTAAGATGTGTTTTGAACAGTCAGCGGAGAGCTTCACACAAGCTATGGCTTATTTTTAAGTTGTGACATTGTAATTTCAAAGGTCCAGATTTTTTGACTTAGCAGAGAACAACACATACTTGTAAATATGCATTTTCTAGGTATTTACAAACAAGAACTTTGGGAGCGCCTCAATTTTGTAGAAGCTGTTCAAAGAAGAGGTATGCCCTTTTTAATTATGCAAATTCACAAAAAATAATAATTCTAGAAATGGACAACAACAACCCAGCTGGTAGTTGCAACATGTTGTTGTAACTTTTTAATTTTTTTTAAGACGGTGTCTGACTGATTTGACAAAGAGGAGACTTTATGTTGCAGCTGTTAAAAGATGACTTCTTTCACTGTACAATACATATTTTTAAGTATATGTTGCTGGATTTGTCCTGTTCTGTTTTCTCACCACGGCTGTGTAACAATCAACATGGATTTTTTTTTTTTTTTTTTTTTGTTAATGTGAAGACTGTTTTTCTTTTCATGCATGTTGAGATGACCTGGCTGGTTTTTATCCCTGTTTTTATCAGTTTGTATTGATTTGTGGATGAAAAAAAAAAAGAAAAGAAGAAAAAAAAAAAAAGCTTTTGTTCAACCTACAGAGTCAAATTTTGGTATATTATTTGATGTGTACAATAACTTGTGACATTATCAACAAAACTATTATAATAATTTACTAACATGTCAATCAAATATGTAATGGTCATGTAAGTTCTTTTTTTTTCTGCAGTTACTTAGCAGGGCTAAAGCTGAGGTTGCTCCCTGGTGTGTGGTGAATTTACGAAGCTTTTGGACATGTTTGTTTGGGGGAATCCGTTTCCCACAAATAAGTCGTTGGCTAATCTCTGAAGTTGTGCAATACTAATATTTCACCGCTTCTTCAGCTACACTTTTATTTATTTTTGAAGCAGAAGAGATTGAGCCAAAGACATTTTAAAGGGATTTTTATTTTGCAATTTTTCTTTATTGCTGATTTGTTTTTAAGGCTTCCTTTTTGTCCTACCAAACACCTTTATATTTCAAAAAAAAAAAAAAAAAAAAGAGTTTGACATGATCTTTACCTGGAAATGAAGGGTACTGACTCTTCAAATGAAGTTGGTTTTGAAAGGTTGTCACCTCCCAATATTGCTCCATATATCACCACCTGAAGTTGATACTTTCTGTGTTACCTTTTAAAGAAAACAGAGCGAAACCAACTTGTGTGTGTGCGCGTGTGTGCATGCTCGTGTGTGTGTGTGTGTTTGCGTGTGTGTGTGCGTGTGTGTGCGTGTGCGTGCGTGCGTGTGCGTGTGTGGGTGTGTGTGGCACATGGAAAGGGAGCAACCTTTTGCCCAGCCAGTAGAGAGCACTGTGTTCAGCCTTCTATAAACGCCACATCTCTTCCTGTTATCTGTTTGCTCTCCTCCGTTCTTCCCTCGCTGCAGTGAATCAATGGCACACCTGTTCTCCCAGCCTCCTAGTCCCATTGGTTCCTCCCTCGTGGGTACAAAATAATGAATAGATCTGTTTTACTCTTTACTCATTTCAATTGGTGGTGGTTATAATAAAGGATTTAGACTGTGTTTCAAAGGTTTATTTTCTTTTTTATTTGTTTCTCTATTAAAGTGTTTTTATTGAAAATTTTTGAATTCTCTGTCCTTTTTCTCTGCATTGAAAGACTCATATGTCATAAATGACGTGGCGTTTGGGAAAATGCAGGCAGATTGTAGACTTGGTGCCAATACCATATTTTTACATCAAAGTTTGCACTGTACAACATATTTGAATTTAACCATTTCATTAGTTTAAAACCTCTAAAGCAGCAATTAGACATCAGATTAGTTATAACACAGCTCTCAAACACTACCTGAAAAAATGCTGCTTTGTTACATGGAAGCAAAGGAAACCTAAACACAAAGTGGTATCACAAGACAGACAGACAGACAGACAGACAGACAGACAGATTATCAGGTTTTAATTTCCATTACAAAGTTATAGCTTATAACAAACACACCCACACAGAATCTACTGAATTCCACAACTTGTTTGGTTGCATGCCATATTCAATGAAAAATTCAAAAACAGTGAAGTCAAAACAAGAAAGAGTAAGAGTACAGAAAGCGCTATCAGCAGTTTGCGCTACTGTCACTATTCCTGCTTAATTTTTTTTCTCTTTTTTTATTTCAGTGTTTTAACACATTTTCTCGGTCAAAAAGAAAAAAAAAAAATGAAATTTGCATTTTGAACAGCTGCATAACTGAGAGCAGTGTGAACCGCTTTGACATCACACCAGGTTCTGCAGAGAAAGGTCAAATATATTAACGCCTAACTTATATATACATGGCAAGAACAGTAGCAGTTGTGTGATGGGATCAGACTAATAACTGCAGCTACAGTACAACACAACTGCAAGATCACGCAGGGACCTGTCCAGAAAAAACAAGGAGCGGGCAATTTCTCTGCGATTTGTAATTTAGGCATACTATATCTTTTTCTCAGTATTACATATAGTTTGCTTAGCTCCCTACTTTGCCACCTGAATGACTCTGTTCCATTATACTCATACCTTCTTTGTTTAATGTGGAGGACTGCTCCTCAAACCCAACTGGACCAAAGTAGATTGAACTTTGCCTTCCAGCACTGGTCCACATGCTCACTTTTCTCATTGTCGTTGAATCTCATCCCAAAAAGCTTTGAGTTTGCAAAGCTGCAACTGGGAAAGGTATTCTGTACTGCAAGTCAAAATGTCAACTTTCAATGACGATTATAATTTAGAAATATCTCACTTGATGTGCACCATTGTTTTGAGTTGCTAATTGCTGACAATAGTCGTGTCATATTAACTTTTTATATGTGTTAGTGTGATTTATCCATTTTAAACAAGGCAACATGTTTTTTTTTTTACCCTTGCAAGTCTGTAACCGCCCGCACATAAGACAAGAACCATGTGGGTTTTTATATTCTCTATATGTTTGTTTCACACCTTTTAAAAAGCAGGAACATGGACGGGGGCAAATACCAATTTTTTCACATGTATCAAATGGGTAGTGACGCATTGGGAAATGAACAGAGTTTTTTTTGTATCAGCTTGGTTTGGAAGCTGTCAACAAAAAGTAAAAGGCCTTGTATGTGCACCTGCTAGAACTGAACCTTTTCCAGCATGATCAGTGCTGCGCTGTGACTGTGTGGGTGTTTAGCATTCAGCCTGACACACACACACACATGCACACAAACCTGCTCTGTGCTGCTGCTTTACTCTAAAATCATTCCTTTACCCGCAAAGTTCTGATTTTAACGGGACATTCTTCACCTTTAAAGGTTCTTTATAAATCTTAGAAATATACAACTTGACATACAGATCTTGACGTGTCCTACTTATTGTAAATGAATGATTCCTTGACCATACAAAAATCAGCAGCTGAACATTAGATATGTACAAGATATCATACACAATGCAGTACATAAAATCAAGTTATCATGTTGTCAGGCCATAACCGTATTAACTATATTCTAAAATGTTATTGTCTTAATGTCTTTTTAACTAAGGTATGCGTGACAATGACAAATGGGGGACCAAACAAGACCATGGACACATAACAGTGAGCTGCATTTTTTTTTCTATATAAGCAGATGATTAAGGATGAGTTGTGAAGGATGAGGGGTAAAGGGAAGCATACTGAAAGTGCTTTCAGATATTTGCATATTTGGCCCAGGTCTGCTCTTGCTGAGAAGTATGATGTTTTTTTAAGCCACAGGTCAGATCTGAGCTCTGGTCTCCAACATGAACCAAACCTACAGAGGTGGTGGAGAGGACTTCTGTGTTTTACACTGGGTGGACACCCAGTATAAGGCAAACATTCTCAACTCCAACAAAAGGCCCATATTCAGGTTGCTGTATAATTGTAGGGAGGGGAATTTCTCGTCATGGCTATAGACCACCCACACCAGAGCCAGTCTCTGTCATCGTGACCTTACCCTTTTAAGGCCAGCTCCTGTTCTTGAAATGGATCTAACACCTGTTATCAAAACAAAAGACACAGTCACTCTCATCCTGCATTCATCTGTCTGTGTTGTTATCATTCCGCTTGATCCGGCTCAGCGTCCATGCAAGTCTCCCATGGATTCCTGGGCATCTGGGGCATGGAAAGAATCAGCAGGGCGATGCCAGTGAGAAAGAGGAGGATGAAGCCGGTGCAGGCGCAGGCAAAAGACCAGGAGTAGTAGTACTCGATCCAAATGGTGTCCTTGCTCTCAATCATTCGTTTGACTGACTGTCGCATCACCTCCAGTGAGATGAAGGAACAGAGACCTGGGGAAGGAGAGAGGTGTGTAATCATGACTGTATATGACAGCTTAGAGTAACACTTCTGTGGTAGCTGGAGAGTCCTCTCAATGCAGCTGGCACAAATCCAATGTTGTCGGTTAACTGAACCCACCTGCAAATGCAAAGAACATGCCAGCAGGTTTGAGGAGGTAGTCTCTTCCTTTGCCTTTACCAGTACAGGATCCCAGCAAACACAGAGACCCCAGTATTGTGAAGGCCAGACTGAAGATGGAGACGGCTGCAGCAGAGATGTTGTACTCTGGAATGATAGAGACCACAGAGTGTTGGCAAACATTGTCATTATCATATTATGTAATTATGTTCACACTTGTATACAGTACACACATTATGTATACACTGGAGTGCAATTAACTTGTTACTTCAGTTAAGCTACAAACCCTCCATTTAGGAATGGATTCTGCTTTAACTGAGCATAAAAACAAACAAACAAAAAAAACTGGATCCACCATTTCAAATATTTCTTTGATTCACCAACACAAAGAGTCCAGCTAATGGTTAGAAAGGCACATGAGAAACATCACAGTTTCCACAATCAATAAGAAGACACTGCTTTAACAAGCAGTAATGAATTATTGAGAGGACATGCTGCTCTCTTTCGAACTGAATAATAGCAGTTCAGGAATTACTACATGTGGCGTGTATTTGAGATATTTGGCCATTTACTTGTTGATTTGAATTGAAACAATATGCATTAGTGTTTAATGGCTTGAAGGCTGAATTATCACATATATTTTTTCAAAGCTGGGGCCACCCTGTAACTGTTTTGACACTTTTTTTGTTACACTCTAATTTTTTTTACATTTAGGGACGTTATCCTGGATCCATTCACAAATTAGTTTTGCACATGCAACAATTTCCTAATACTGTAGAAAACCCATCAGTCATAATGTCAGGTCAGGCTTACAGGATAAGGTTGCTTTATTCTTTTTTCTTTTTTTTTTTTAATTAGGCCTATTTTCAGCAAATCCCACGACAAGACCAAAACCAGCAATGTCTTACACTGACTTCTCCATACACAGCTCCAAGCCAGTCTTCCAGTGTTTATTAATCTATTATCTTTCTTAAAGGCAAGTCATTCCATCCATAAAATATCTGGTCACGAATGTTAAGCAAACATTACTCAACTAGGAGTAAATAGTGCATTTTTGGGGACTGTTTTCAGCAGAGGACTAATACATATTTGGTGCAATAGTGAGTTTTTACAGCAGCTGGACAGTATATGTGGGATCGACTCAAATAAAACTACAGTTTCCATGTTTATGGTGATGAAGGGACATGTCACCCTCTGTGGTTCATTGTGTTTTTAATGTTTTTGGACAACAGTGGAGCTCAATAGCGCAGAAGAATAAGCTTCACCAGACTATTGGAAAATTATGTGCACTTTGGTCCTTGTGTTGACAGATACAGTGTGTCTGTGTAACAGCAACAGCAGCTGGCTTGTTTTTCTGAGCAGAGAGGTGGATAAGGATAGGAGGCCTTTGATCTGCCTCCTGTTCGCCTGTGAACCATGCCCAGGGGAGAGGCGCTCCTTTGGGGGAGAGAGCCTTCATCTTCTGCTTTGGCAAGGGAGGATGGGCCGCACCCTGAACACTCTGTGTTCTCTGAGATACTGTATGTCTGTGGAGCTCATTGGCTAACTCAGTCTGAAACAACAAAGTTTCTCACCATTAAAAGTGAGGTAGACATCAAAAAGATACCGCCGTTTCAGTCACACTCAGGCAAAAATCTGAAATATGAAATGTATATGTGACAAAAAAAAAGGATTGGATAATGAATTTAAGGTTTAGAATTTCAAAATTTGTTGTAGTTCCCTCTTATGAAAAAATATGACACAAGCTAATCTTATCTGTCTCTGTCTATCTCTTTGCACTGCTTCAGAGAAGAATTGCAAGTTTGATTCATTCCTGCTTTGTGTGCCCTGAGGAAGGAGATTATGAAATGACACAATAACATTTATGCAGATGTGAAGCATAGTTTACGTGGGTTAGTAAAATGTATGAAGATCCTCCAAAGGCCCAGATCCATTCATAAAGTGTCCTAGACTATTCTAAACTCGCATTATTCTCATCACACTTCATTTATTTTCACCGGTGAACTCCCTATGGCAGACAAGATTCTTCCTTTATGGATGGATCTGCCTGTGGTGACATACATCTACTATGTTCATTCAGCCTTATGTACCATTATGGTACAGCCAAATGGGTCAATGGAGAGTGAATAACTCTACAGGGAACTTAGGCCAGTGCTGCAATCATTCTCACAAACTTGCAGTGTGCCCCTCAAGGGCTAGCCATCAGCACTGGGATGCTGCATGTGTGTGTGTGTGTGTGTGTGTGTGTGTGTGTGTGTGTGTGTGTGTGTGTGTGTGTGTGTGTGTGTGTGTGTGTGTGTGTGTGTGTGCGCACATGTGTGTATTGGAGTATGGAGGTATCCATGAATGCATTAACATCTCAGAGTTTAGGGTGTGGGGGTGTGTACAACTTCATGTTCAAGCCTATTCACATTCACACCCCAGTAATTGAGTCTGACAGTGCTCCACATGTGCTCAGCCCCCTAACGCACATTACACGGGAGGGCTGCCATACATGTGTTGGCTGAGCTCAGTGAAGCCATAGCTGTAAAACAGGGTCAATGAAGAGAGGTTGGAAGGAGTAGAAGGGAGAGGGAATAGGAGCAGGAAATGATTACTGTACTGTAGCTACAGAACATCTCTTGCACTGCTCCTTACACATGGTAGACAGGTGACGACCACCATGTGGGAAACAAATTCCAACAAGCAAACAGTTGCATTTTCCAAATGAATTAGTGTATGTATCAAAATCTTCCAACATAATTCATAATAAAAAAAGGCAGAGGCAACTACCATACTTTAAACAAGACCAAGTCAAAACCTAGAATATGGTTGGACTGTCTATGGTCAAATCCTGGTTTTATAACCACGACGTTGTCTGACAAAATCACCGAACACATAAATTGAAGACAAAGACTGTGCTGTGATTTCAGCTGTATTTACGGGTAAAATGATCACTCAAGAGAAAATTAGAAGTGACAGAATATCTTTCTTATTTTGTCTCTTATACAGAGCACAGCTTCTATCTGGGATCCACAATAGTTTAGCCTTTATTTACCTCAACAGAGCGTTACAGACTTTTATCCGAGGCAGGTCTTCATGTCTCACTCCCTTTGTTTGATATGTATAATTGGTTATAGCAGTGTATCAGCACAAAGCCTCATTTTCAGTCGCTATAAAGTTACTGCATTACCTGCTGATACACACTTGATACTGGGCAGAAACCCTTTATTTCCTAAGGTGGCTTTTATTGCTGTGCTACAGGGAGCATATTGTCTAATTTCTGATTGCTGGCGTTTCTGTTGTTTATATGCTATTCAGATCTGCTAGTTTCTTTACCAGTTACCCATGACTTCTCTCTCCCCCTCCCACTCTCCTGTTCTCTCTTGTTCGGTGTCCTTTGTTTAGTTATTCCTCTGCCTTAGTCATAATGATACATGTTATGAAAGTAGTTTATTTGCCGTAATGGAGGCGATGCTTGGAAGTGTTCCTCCGCTTCCTTGCAGTTCCCAGCAGCTGGGAAACCAGAGCGGCTCCATAGACTATCCTTAACAAGAGGTGTAGCTCTAAAACCCAGTTGGCATCCATGTACCAGGTTTATACCCAGTCTTGTTTGAAAAACATCTCTAAATCTAGCGACAATGCGCTAAGTTGGCAACACTGCAGGCTGTAAACACCCTCTAATAGAACCTTTTTATGCCAGAAATGAATGGAAAGCCAAAACTCAGTGATGTGGCATTTGGCTGACCAGTGGTGGAAATATGATCACTCAGTCAGTCACTATGTCCAGATCATAGGGCTGGCCCCACTGTTGCGATCCAGCCAAAAATACAATATATCACATGTAATACTTGTCAGTGCATTGCATACTGGCCTCTGTTTTTGGCAAAGACAAACATACACATACAGTGTGGCTAATTATAACCTGTGGAGGCACACTGACTTTGAGCCACAGCTGCACACAGGGTTGGGACAGTTCATTGTCGGATGACAGGTTTTGTCATTGACAAACGGTCGAATACACCTGCTGTGTGCAAACTGTTCTGTGCTCAGAAGTGAAACGAATGAAAATCTGAGCCCGCAGAGAGCAGAGCAGCAGCAGCAGCAGCAGCAGGTGAGGTCAGTTGGGAAACTGTGGTGCAGCTGGTTTGATGTTCAACTTCACACAGACTGGGGTACTCCAAAGAAAATGTGAATTCACGAATTAGACTTTCCTTTTTTCACTTTCAGATAGAGTGGAAAGAAAGTAACCCGACACATGGGGAACCTGTGTCGGAGACCTACCTTTTTGTGTTTTATATTCAAATATCTCAGCATCCTGCCCTGGAGTGAAGTGCCTGAAGTAAGTGCAGTTTTCATCTGTGGAAAGAAAGAAAACAGGATTTAGTTCAATATTAGAATCTGCATTAGTTGATTTTTCTAGCCACTTTGGGGCTGCACAACAAGATGCAACACAAAATCTCCATATTTCCACTTTGCAAAGTTTTAGCTAACAACAGCCTGTTTACACATCCAGCAGAGGCAGACATACATTATCATTCACCTGGAGTCATGTTTGTGTCCACCTGATTAATGTAAGTCACATATTTACAGTTTTCTAGCTCTGTTTTGATTTTCAACTTGTGAGAGAGTTTCGGGTTTTATTGCTACGAAATTAGCTAGCTAACTTTGTCTGCAATTTAATGTAAGGCAGTAGTTGGGTTTTTTTTTTTTTTTTTTTTTTAATAGCTGCTTGCTGTTCTAAACAAGGTTGAGCCTGAATCAAAAGAGTAAATCTGTGGGCTGTAAAACCAAAACAATGAGCTGAAAGGTGCTAAAAAGCTGTGCAGAGCTGAGGGGAAGTACAGAGTTGGATGATAACTTCTCTGTTGATTTGTCACCAAGAGCCTTTCACATTATGGTCATTTGATCTGATATTAAATAAATTCACAACTTGTACACAATAATTAAAACTTCACAGGATGTGACTTAACTTTTCTTGATTTTTTTCTTTTTAATGTTTAACACCGTGTCATGAACTTTCATTAAATTTAAATGTCTTTATATGCAAACACATGTATAAAAAGAGATGGAGCCATTAAGTGAAGGTCATGTAGTAGTAAATAATAGTTGATTAATTAAAATGGCACCATTGTGGAAAATCTTTAACAGCTTTCAGCTCTGATGACCAGAGTCTGTCGTGTAGAAAATTTTTGCTGTGCCTTCGTTCTTTGATTCTCATGCACTGCAGACCAAAATCTTTCTGTAATGTACAATGTTTTTTTTTATAAAAGTTGTTTCACCTTGTCATGTAACAAACAGCTTTTGCTTTTCACACCTCTGCTCAAGCTTTGCCGCACATACTTATGCACCATTGGCTGACCTCCATTCCGGCTGTGTTATGCTGTGTGAATATGATACTTTAGCTGAACAATTCACACTGTCTCGGATTTATCTCACATTGTTTTTCCAAAAGCGTATCGCAGATTGACACCCGTGGGATAGATTTACCACTAAACTGGTTGTGTGATGAGACCTAGTCTGCTTTGTGTGGTTTGACTGTCAAAGTAAAAACAGTTACAGCATACATCACATTCAATTTTTCTTCAGGCAGACGAGGTGTTAAAACCTTAGGGATTTCTGCAAATGAAGCCAGACTGCTGTGTGTGATCAGGGGATGGTTTGGATAGAATAAATACTCTTTGATGCTCTGCCAAATATAAAAAAAAACCCCTGATGAATCCAGTGTAGAAATAGATTTTGGTTTCATGTCAAATCTTGATTACATTTGACCAATGGGGTTTAAATATATATACAGGGTTAAAAGTAGTTGATGAGGTGCACACAGAGCAGCTCACACTTCAACGTCCGAGACTTGACTTCATGTATCATGTACTTCTGAAAGCAGTAGAATGTCCTGGCATTAAAAAGAAATAAAACTTAAGTTTGGATGATCATATTTGCAGAGGGAGTGAGAATGTCTATGCAGGCAACACCAGAGCACTATGTCACTTAATCCCGTGGAAAGTCAAGTGCATGTCAGTGATCTTGGTTATGCTATGAGGTCTCCACTCAGATGCATGTTTCTAATCCCCTTTTCCATACAGTCTCACCATGGGACATCAATGAAAGGCTTTCATGTGGAAATATGTCATACTGCATGGTATCATATCACGGTTAGCACTCAACGACCCATGCTGGGAGGGTATACATCATTTTCCTATGTTCCCAGGAAACCATGAAAATAAGCTAAAAGCAATTTCGGGAGACTCTAAACGGAAACAGCACAGAGTAATTTCATGTAATAGGCACAAATAAAATCTCTGAATCATATTTTTTGCAAGCCAAGTCAATATTGCAATGTTCACAAAAACCTGCTTTGAAATTACAAGCTTTTATTGCTGTGCCATACTGTGTGAGCCCACATACAAAAAAAAAGTAACAAAAAGATGTTTTTATGAATGAGGACAGGGATTGGCCATCAAAAAATGAAAACACAGAGGTTGTTACTAAGCAACAAGGACCAATGTTTTTTCACTGTAGAAAGCAAATATGAGGATGAGTGTGATAGAGGCTCGTCAACTATTTGTGCTTCTGAGTAAAACCTTGTGTCCAAAAGGGAGGCTGGAAAATATCTCTGGAAAACTGAATATTTTTTCATTATCATTTTAAAAGGAATGCTAATCCTCTCAGTGTACTTAATCCCTATAGCAGGAAACAGTGATTTTCAGGACTGTCACTCGATTCAGACTCTTCTTTGGCGACATAGACATAGATGCTGACTCAAAGGCTGGGGACTCAAAATTCGACTCAACATGTATGACTCGACAACAACACTGGCAGGAAACATTGTCTCTGAGAAACCTTTTTTTTTTACTTAGGTTTAGGTTGAAAAGTGTAAGAACTCCCAGCAGTACAAATTGTTCTTCATTCAATAAATGCATATCTGGTTTGTTACGTATGTTTAAGTGGAGCGACTCGGCACTTATTAAAACTGTGTGTGTGTGTGTGTGTGTGTGTGTGTGTTTGTGTGTGTGTGTGTGTTTGTGTTGCCTAATTACACCTTTTTGTTCCATCTTTAGAGTGCAAGCTTCAACAAAAATATGAGGAGAGCTGGTGGTCATAAATTAAAATGTATTCATCAGTGGAAGCTTGCTGCCACAGGTGAACACACTCCCTCTCTCTCTCTCTCTCTCACACACACACACACACAAACACACACAACCACACACACACACACACATACATTTGCCAGTGTTGAATCACTTGTTGTTGGTCCTCATCCTGCAAGGCTGCTCTGACAAGCTCCGTAAAGCCTCTCATGTTCCTAATAGGGCAATCTGTCATCTTTTTCCAGAGATCAGGTGAGGGCATTGGATTAGCAGCATTTCTGCACATGTCATGGCAGCACCTTTTATAGCTTGATGTGTTGTGTCAGTTTGTTTTGTCTACATTGTAAGTTTGACCCAGACCTCTGAAGAGGTGTTAATATTTTGTCGGCTCTATTTGACTGTTGTTCCCTTTGTCATTGTCAGGTCTGTCAACTATGACAAGTGAAGACAAGTTCAATTATGTTGTTGCAAGGTCGACACAGGCATACATACCACCAAAATTACATTCACTCTAGGTACATTAGTGGCTTTTCCTACAGAGCCCAGCAGGTTTCAGTGCAAAACATTTTGATAAATCATGTGCAAGATGATGCATTAACTCAAGGGAAAAAAAACTATTTTTTAAAAATGTATTTTACATTATACTTCTGATACCTGTCAGGCTTTGTAATTTAACCACTCACACTCCGAACAAGTAAAAGGGATCTTTGGTTTTATCTCGTCTATGTAAGTGTCTTTATGTATGATACCTATTCCTGGGTTGCTTTGCCACTTGAGTGCTTATAAATACACATAATAGCAGTGGTTCCACTTGCTTTTTGGACTATGCATCCCACCCTTGGAGAGTGTAAAGTAATTTCAGTGGCTATGTGAGCTGCAAGGAGACATGAAGCTGCAGGACGGTCTCGTGGGAACAATTTGGTGGGTGGGACAGCAGGCCTTCGAGCTATGCCAAATGCTTCCAGGTGGCCCCGTCACTCAATGGAACGCTGGACTTGACAAGAACACTTGACCCTCACGGCTTCCACCCAAGACAGCTGAGTATTTACATGGCCTATTTTTATAACGACAGCGACTGCTTGCTGAGCAGTTTGCACAATATTCAGTCATTAGAGCACAAAATTCAAAGTGTTTGTGATGTCTTTGAAAATGAAACACAGGGGGGAGCAACATGGAGGAGCTTTGTAACTTGGCTGGTTAACAGAATATCTGATGCTGCTTACTTAAAGCTCACAGCAGCTCAGAAAGCCCATATCAAAAGCAATCCCAGTATGAAAAGAAAGCAGGACAACACAATATACTGCCTAAAACAAAACAAAAAAAGATCATCTTAACACCTGCGCTTCGTGAGCAGTTAATTTAAACACAAACGCAGCCCGTATTTTCCAGATGAGTGTCTCACAGCCAACAGCACCTCCTCACGCACTGTTATAAGTCCTGCTTTGGATCAGAGGTTGACACCGTTTTGAAAATGTGTGGCTATGATAAACAATAATGTGCCTCTCCAAATACAGCTATTGGGCCTGGAGACTGAGAGAGATCTATCTATCTATCTATCTATCTATCTACTTCTTAAACAAAGGCTGGGGACATGAAAACCTTTTGTTAGTGGCCAATGGCTATAGTTAAAACAGTAAATATCATATCATATTGTATAAAAATTGCAGATAAAGGCTCTGTAATTAGAAATATTTGCCACTTGCCACAGTCTGAAAAATTCCCTGCATGTCTGGTGTGGGCAGAGCTGTTTTAGTATATTCAGCACATGCCTGAACAAATGAACCACCCTCAGGCATTTCATCTGCTCCTGGAACAGCCCTGCAGGGCATACAGTGTCTGGGATTCCCAAAAGTTAAGCAGCTGCCATCAGTTAGGACATATTCTGGGAGATTCTTTGGGAGCAGGACAAATTTGGAGGAAAATCCCAGCCTCATTTGCATAAGGTGACATACAGGATGAGACAGCAATCAATAGTCAGATATTGGCTTCTCAAGATAACAGTCACCAGGCCAGCAGGGTTGACCGTCTCTCATTCTACTGATGAGTGACCCTCACCACACGACAGTGAGTCATTACGAGTCAGTGACCGCTCAACACTGTTTATACCCCTTTTGTTCAATTACAGTCTGCTTCTTATTCAAGGGCCCTTAAGAGCATCTGTTGTCGTACAAAGTTTATTTTGAGACATTGATAGCAAAGTGAAACCTTGTTAGAATATCAGGATACACATGACCCATCAGCAGACTACATTATGTCAGCAACCTTAAGGGCTATGGCAGAGTAAGCATTCAGATCATTCACTTAAGTAAAAGTGTTAATACCAATGTGTAAACATAGTCCATTATAAGAAAAATAAATCAAGCATTCGAAATTACTGTTATCAGCAGCAAAACAGCCCCTTTAAGAGCCATGCATTATGTGTTATATCAAGTTATAGGCTATTATTAATAACTAATTAACATGTAAGCAGCATTTTAATGTTGTAGCTGGTTGAGTTGAATTATCAGAAATCAATGGGACCTGTAAAATGTGCACACGGTGCTTTTAGTAACTTTCCATCACTGATTTTAATGTCAGTTCACTGAGAATGTTGTACAGTGTGTTTGTGTCTGTCAGGTTCAGGCACTAGTGTTGTATGTAGTATCAATACCAGCTGGTTTTACTAATAAACACATCCTAACCCAGAAAGGAGGAGCCAGGAGCCAGCTGTTGTGGTGCTTAATATTTGGTTACTGAAAGCCTACAGCCTGCTGGGGCTCCGTACCACACGCTCGGGTATGTCTGGTTGATGGCAAATATATAAGTAGTCTGGCCAAGTCTTTATGGCTAACTGCTAACTAATGCATCCTCTCAAGACCTAAGCTTAGACTGTCACACCACCATTGACGATTTCATCAGAAATCATTTGAAACCATTTGAATATCTTTCTTTGAGTCTGTTTCTGAAGTCTGTTCAAACAGACCTCAAGTGGTGTCACTAACTGAAAATACATACATAACTACAGACAAAAGAAAACCTTGATTATATTATGAAAGGCCACAAGTATGTAACATACAGCAGGATCTTTCTGTTGTTTCACAGGGAAGTTTATAATATATCACATGTCTAGTGAGGCTGCATGAGGACCGCTATTCTTAGTAGCTTCATACCTCATGAGCACTGGGGCTTGATTGCACAGAGGCACTTCACAGTCCCTGACAAACAATATTCATGCAATATCTAAGCACACCTTTTGTTAGAGAGACAAAAAGTGACACATGCCTTTCAGCTTTAATCTAATTGTTTGTGCCAGTTACAGAAATCTTTTGGTCAAATTTTCTCTTACCTCCAGGCAGGCTGATGGGTCCGCAGCCATGCCCCTCCACGTAGTTTTCCGAGCTAATGTAAATGTGCTTCTTGCACAGCCTCCACAGGCCAAAGTGGGCCGCCTCACAGGTGTCATTCAGTTTCTCCACTTGCGGGCTGAGCACTGCCCAGTGGTCCGTTACCACCGCTGTGAACATGCAAGCCATACCCACCAGCAGCACGAAGACGGCAATCTTTATCTTTGTTCGCTTGTGCATGTTTCCAGGAGGTGAGATTTCTTGTTCTGTGAATATTCTTCTCTTGATATGATGATAATAAAAAATATATATATATAAAATTGGATGTTCTGCAGCAATGTGGACACACTGGTGTGTGTCCAAGGGGCTTCTTTCCTCAGTGACCGCAGCAAGCTTCCCAGAAAGTCTCTTCTTGTTTTCTCTCTCAGCCTTAGACTAGTGCCTTCTCTCCCCCGTTACAAATCTGTGACTCTGGTTCGAAGGGAAAGGGGCCAGACTGCTCCTGTCCTAGATTCAAGTCCCCTTTTCCCTACTCACTATGAGTTGCTGCACAACTGAGGGGGCTGCAAGTTTAGACAGACAGCTGTTGAGGTGGATCAGGAAAGTTGATGACCAAACTGCCTGCCTGCCATGGTGGGCAATGGGCATGGAGGCTGTTGCATGTGTTTGTAAGTGTTTTGCTGGGGTTTTGTGGGGGTGGGTAGGGGTGGGGCGGGGGCAGATGGGGCAGTTGGATGCTATAAATGTGACCAGTGAGTCAAGTTGTCAGGCTGTCTGCTTATCTGGTTACAGTGCCAGTGGGTGGAGATGTGTAACGTGCTATAACAAGTAGACACGCGAAAACAGTCTTCTCTCATCCATATTTACACGTAAACTTTCAAAATGCATTTTGAGAATAGCTTTCCATACTTCTCCTTTCTATCCATCTACAGTGGCCGTGTTTACACTCTCTGCCTTGTCTCTGTAAACTATTTATAAGGAGAAAGTGGATGTGTTTATAAAGAACAGCGGCTAGGCTTCAGCAGTCAGAGAACAGAGGAGTTCCCCTGATGAAACAATACTGCTTTTAGTAATTCCTCATTTGGCGATTCATGTCAGGATACCCACTCATTACTATGTATTATAGTTTAAAAGGATCATAACTGTTTCTTTATTGAGATGCTCATTGTTTCATCTCTGCAGTATCAAGGTAATATCTTTCTGTAATGTTTCTGCTCACTCTGAAGTTGCTTTAAAAGGTGAAATCGGTAAGGGCATTCAGACAGTAAGGGCATCTGTCCATCCAGACATAATATTTTCCTGCAGCAACTTACAGTTTGTTTTGTTGCACCGCAGAATATGAGTGGAAAAGCCCTAAATCACCCCAAAGGCCCAGGAGAAGGAACATTACCTATCTTCTGGGAAAAAGGAAACACAAGCTTTCATAAGTGTCATACTGTGTAAAGTTCACCAGGTTTACTAATCACTGTAATCATTGTATCACCAAAAACTACTTTCATGGCTTTTAAGAGCTTACTTGAAAATGCACTCCGAATACTGTCATCATAAAAGTATAAGAAAATATTCTTGCACAATGAATTTAAAAAATCTAAAATAAGTGGAGGAGAAAAAGAGACGGAAAATGTACTTTATTTTATATATTATATATATTATATGAAATAGCAAAAGATGTGCTGATAATTCCCCTACAGTAAATCATGTTGGTATGTCTCTGTTTATCTTTTTTAAGCCTTGGCCCACTTTGAGTCTCTTTATAAGAATTGTGACCCACTTCCCCCTGCAGGCGCCAGTGAAAGTCAAAAAGTCCTCACAGCAACAAAAGTAGAACTTGAGAAATAACTGTGAACCTGCACACACAACAAGATAGCATATGTATGAGTGCAGTCTCCAGCTGAGGGATCAGTCAGTCACCAACTACACCCACCCACTTATGTCCCAGAAGGCAATGTAGTACTTCCCCTCCACTGCTTCTGAATCAAATCCTCAAGGAAACAACAAAAGTCTGCCTTAATTCACATTAATTTTTTTTTCCCTCTTCCCATTAGTGCTGTACTGTTTTGGATGTTTTTTACACCCTGTTATTGTTTTAGCTTTGGCCACCACTCCTATGGATAAGGATACGATTCACTCATCGTTTTACCCAGTCAGATATGGCAACATGAGGAATCCAGCTTTACAATAAAATCCACAGCGCATTGCAAACAGAGGCTGCCAGGTTTTATATTAGTCCGGTTTATCCAAATTATATAAAAGCACTACCAGTATTTGGACTTAAAACTGGAAGTTGATGCGCCCCTAGTGTCCATTATAATCATCCATTCATCCAATCAGAAAGTAGCAATCCAAAATGAATGGATATTTGGGTAAAAATGTATCCAGTTTTCACCTCCAAATAGGTTATCTAGATAATTGGATAATTAATAAGAATTGGATTAAAATGGAAATGTTCAACACTTGTTTGATTGTGATGCTTCATTAACTCCATTGTAAAGCTGTCTTGAGCCAATATTTATTTATACTATATGGGGGCAATTCAGTTAGATCATAAAATATGTCCACTAGTCAACTAAAGGTTTTCCTGTCATGATTGACAACTATATCGAACGTTTACCATTGGACGTCCAAAGGGAGACAACATCTTCTATGCTGTAAATTGCAGAATGGTTTGTCTCTCCACTGTCAGAGGAACATTACAGTATGCAATTAAGGACAAATTGCAATTTGTCCGACAATTTGTCTTTTGTTTTCAACATGAGTTTTTGACAACAATTGGAGCCAATGACTTTAAGAAGGGTGATGCATTGACAAGCACTGTTGCCTGTATTGCTCAGTTTGCACATTCTTCCCGTGTCTGCATTAGCCTAGTTCTAGACCTCCGAATTTGAAGTTCAGTCTGATCATCAGGCTAAAGATATCTGCATGGTTCTCCTTTCCTAAAATGCAGGATTGGTGGCTTGGTAACTCTAAATTGCACATTAAAAAATCTAGATTGACAGACAGTGACCTGTCCAAAGTGTTTTCTGTCTCTCGTCCAATGTGAGCTGAGACAGGAATTGCTGGAATTGCCTTACTTTCTTTGGAGTATTCTTGGGATATTGGATACCACTATGAAATAGTATTGATTTGGATATGTAGCTGTGCTTGGTCAAAATATTTTAACAACATCATACCAGTCTATTTTGATTTGAAGGGCTGTGCCTCATAAATGCTTTGTAAGCCTGATATAGAGCCAAGGTATTATTGACTTTGATGAGTACCATTCATGTTCATGTGTGGCTGGAGATCATGACAACATATTTCTTTCCTGATATTACAGTAAATTTAATTAATTTCAAGGGCTGAAATGATTAGTCAATTAATCAGTTAGTCAATTTGACAGATAGTTTTTTGACAGATAGTCATTTTGATGATTAATTGTTAACTAAGTCATTTATTTATGAAAAATAATGAATATTTTCTGTTTCATGTTACAAAAAGGAGGATTTTATTTATTTTTTTCATATAGCATGATGTCCATTTTTCACTCTCCAAAGATTCTGTAAACAAGATGTTAAACAATAATACAGCAGCAAGCAACTATTCAAACAGTTGGCCCTTTCTACCTTTACAAACACACAGGCCCCACCCACTTAAGAGATGGCTCAGTGCAGTAGACAGCCTTCAGGTGAAAGCAACTTCCCAGACTTTACTCCACAGAAGAAACCACATCTTGGTCTAAACAGGCCTCCAACAAAGAAAGAGTTAAGCCCAGAGCGCAGACGGACTAGTCATAGGGACTACCGGCTCGATTCCAGGTCGGCCGGTGGCCGGTCAAAACAGCCATAAAGTTTTTAAAGTTTTTATCGTCTCCTTCTGTGTCATTCGTTCCACCAGCAACATGGGTCAAGTCCAAGGCTGAATTCCTTCCCGCAGTCCCCAATGGAGCCTATACTGGTCTGGCTTTGCCAAGATGGAGAGCCCTACTAGCTGCTAAAGAGCTCCAGCTTGACTTGGAACTGCCTTTTCTTCTCCTCCATGTGTAAGTAGCTTAATGTCTACTAATGTTTCGTGTTTGTTTTCATTAGTGAAGGCCTCAAAAGGGAAGGTAAAGTTAGCTAGCTTGCCTTCACTGATATTCTGAATTTGTTTGGCAAATGTTGCTATTGCAAGCTGGCTAACTGTCAGCACTGATGTGGTTCATATCACGGCAATGCTAGCGTGGGCTAATGGTTGTGGCTAGGTCGTATTTGTTGGCTCTCATGCACACAAGGTAACTTTATTCAGTTGTGCTTCGTGTTGTGTGTTTAGTGGCTGCTTTCACTGGGCTTCGTAACACCTTGCTGACTGACGACGAGAAGGGAGGGGGTCTGTAAACCAACAGAGGCCGGAAGTGAGCCTGCCGAAGCATTTGTTTTGGTCTGAGATGCTGGTGGTCAAGAGCTATATCTACTGGCTGTGACGATCGTTTACAGAACCTCTAATGGCTTTTTTAGACTGAATAATTAATCATTCAATCAAAAAAACTATTGACAGATTAATCAATACATCAATAATGAGAATAATCGTGAGTTGCAGTTTTACTAATTGCTACATACCTATTATCACATACACATACCACATTTAATGTCATATATAGTACAGAAATATATAGGCCTAACTTGTATTTAGTACCACAGTTTTCTCAATTTAAAGGACCACACACCAGTGATTTAGTGCTAGGTAACAATAAATATCCTTTTAATCAAGTATATAGTGGATGGCTCAATATTTTCCAAACCTATATTTATGTGATATATGTTTATGATAATAATGAGAAATTATTTTGTGTTATTGAAATGAAAACCTGTGGAACCATCAGTTATACAAGGAATGTAGCCTGTTATATTTCATGACCTTTCTTCTCATAAAAGATTACAGCCTGATCTGAAAACTAAAGTTTTTGTCCATATTTATATCCATTATCCATTCATTGTCATTTACAGTCAATAGTGATCATTAGATCATTAGTTGGATTACACACATCACTGGGAGATTAGAGGTTGTGACACAGTGATGTAGTCAGCAGGATAATCACAGGTTTAGATTTGACAGTCCCTTTAGTGTGCCAGTCTCAGTGTGTGCGTGTGTGCATGTGTGTGTGTGTGGCTTGGCTTGGCTTGGCTTGTATTGCTAGTGTGGACTGATTTCAATTTGAATCCATCGTAGTGAGGGTTTTTGAAGGCTAGGTTTGAAGGTTAAGCCTTTGTTTTAAAGTTAAGGTT